GATGTATTTCTACCCAAGATCCAGATTAGTCATTAATAATAATAATAATAATAACAATATTTATTTATTATAACAACATAAACAATTTAAATACTATTCAAACATACAGTTAAAAACATACAGTTAAAGTGGGACAGTATTTGAATTGATTGAATTGGCCTCCATGAGCTTTCAGCTGTTCTTCCTGGAGGCAGCAACATGGTAAATGGTCACATTTTTCTATAGCACTTTTCCACCTTCAAGGCACTTAAAACACTTTACAACAAGGAACCACTCACCCATTCACACACACACACACACACACACACACACACACACACACACACACACACACACACACACACACACACACACACACACACACACACACTACACCAGAGTACACACACACATGAGTACGCACACACACACACACTACACACACAGTACACACACACATGAGTACACACACACACATATACACACTACACAGTACACACTCTACACAGTAGTCACAGTACACACACATGGTGCAGTGGGTGAGTTGTTGTACAGTTGTAGGGAGTATTATCTGTCCATCTATAGTCTGGTGCAGAGAGCAGGAGTGTCCATGATGGAAAGCAGTTTGTCCAGTGTCCTCCTGTCCCTAAATGTAACAAATGTGTCCAGCTCACAGGTGATCACGTGAGCAGCTTTACGGGTCAGTTTGTCAATCCACTCAATGTCCCTTTTACTGCTGCTGCTCCTCCAGCAAACCACAGCCAAGTACAGGGCGCTGGTCACCACAGACTGGTAGAAGATCTCCATTGAAAGACCTGAACTTTCTCAGGAAGTACAGTCTACTCATGTACTTTTAGTACACAGCATTACTGTTGTCCCTCCAGTCCAGTCTGCTGTTCACCTGGATACCAAGGTACTAGTAACAGTCCACAAGTTCCACGTCATGGCCTTGGATGGTGATGGGCTCCACTGGTGTCCTCTTTCTTCTGAAGTCAGTCACCAGTTCCTTGGTCTTGTCAACGTTCAGGGCAGATGGTTTGTCTCTGACCATCAGTGTCCTGTCCTCCAGCTCCTGTCCATCTCTGATGCACCCAACCACTGCAGAGTCATCAGAGAACTTCTACAGATGGCAGAACCCGGAGCTCTACTGGAAATCAGAGGTGTACAGAGTGAACAGAAACGGAGACAGGACTGTACCCTGGAGGCACCTACATTACTGACCACTGTATCAGACAGGGTGCTCCCTGTCGCACATACTGGGAACTGCCTGACAGGTAGTCAGTAATCCAGGAGACAATGGAGGAGCAGACACCCATCTTGAGTAGCTTCTCACTCAAGCCTGTACCATCTCACACACAGATGGTACAGGCTTCTTGGGCACTGGCACAATGCAGGAGGTCTTCCACAGCACCGGTATCCTTTCAAGCTTCAGACTCAGAGTGAAGAGAAAGTGCAGGATCCCAGTGAGCTGTGCTGCACATGTCCTCAGCACACGAGGGTTGACTTGGTCTTAGATGAACTTTCTCCAGCTGTCTTCTCACCTGGGCAGGTAACAAAGACACTGGGCTGGGCTAGTTTGTCTTGTTTACTGTGTCTGTCCCTTGAAAATACCAGATTTTGTGCCTCTGTTCTTCTAGTGACATTAACTCAATATTATAAATCAGATGTTATGTCCCGACAGTTACTCTTTAAGATACTCTTATGTAAATAATGCTTTTCCCTAAGACTTGTGGTGTTCCTTCCTAACCTTCCAAGAGCCTCTCATTTCTCACCTTTGGCTGTCATATTTGATTAGTGATTTGGATATTGCAATAACCCAACTGATTTAAAAAGTAAAACTGCTACTAGTTTGTGTATGAGCATCAGACAGAGACACAACACGACTCTGAGTGAAGAGAAAAGAGGCAGGGTCATCGTCACATGAGCTCAAATCATCACTAAATGTAAGAAATCATGTGGGGAAATAAAGTAAATCATGTAAACAACAAAGTATCAATCTGAATATTTGCTATGTCATTTTAATACTCCTTTTGGTATTGATTCACCAATACTTAGGATTGATTTGCACAGCCCTACACAACAGTTTGATACAAAAAAAAAACTCTGTAAATACGTCATTTTTAGCAGTGCAATAAATATTAAAAACAGCTGATGAACAATGTTTGGTAAATAGAGCAGGTTTTATCAGACTATTTCACTTATTATGACTATTACAAAAAGTTTCAAAAGTACTCAAGTATTTACCAAACTGTTACAACACATATATTTATTGATGATGGATTAAGATGATTCCATGTATTTGATTTTGGAAGATCATATTATTTTTCTATGCAGCTAACCAAGTTAAGTCAGGTCACAATATTGTTTACTTTCAAATATATGGAAAAACCTCTCTCATTAGCATATAGAAGTCCGTCGTCATGGTACATCCTGTGATGTTACATAACATCGCAGGTGTATAAGGTAGAGTTGTGTTTCAGTTTGTCCACTTTCGTCCAGGACGGCACACAGATAGCAGCATATCTCAAGCTCTCCTCAACTTTTCAACTTTTACAAGTCACCAGCTCAAACAAAGCTTCAGCTCCTGTTCACATCGGATACGTGGTAAGTATCGCTGTTAGTGGTCGCTGTAACTCTGAAAACGAGACACAAATGAAAAACAAATTCACACTGGACTGTTCTGTCAACATGTTTTGGTCCATAATGTTGTTTCTACACACAACTCATGAGTTTTATGATTGTACTACTTGTTACTTTCAAAATAATATGACGTAAGTACATGTACATAGTGTTTCAACAAGTTACTCAAGTAAGAGTAAAAGGTATTTGGGGAAACTAGTTCTCAAGTAAAAGTAATTAGAGTAACTGCTGGACATAACATCTAATTTGCAAATTGTAGCTTGGAGTGATAAAATATGTCAAAATGCACATGGTGAATTCAAAGACCAGATTGTAGACAGTGTTAATAAAACACCATCAAACATGACTATGTGTTGTAGTAGTGTTAAAGTGTAAAATATGATGTTGGCTCTTAAGTATGTTGAGTTCAAATGTATTTGTGTGTTTTTACAGAAGTCCATGCACAACAGGACAATGACATCAGAAGTTAAGGTGTTGGGTCGTGTGGCAGCCCAAACTGAAGCCATATTGGAAGACCGTATCAATATGGACACTGATAGAACCACACGGTCATTGAACTCTCCTGCCAAACCAGGGCCCTCCAATCACTCGGGCCGTCTCCAAGAAAAAACTTATTACTCTCCTCTGGGACAATCCTTACACCAGAGCGGAGAGGCCCTCTGCAGGTGGCAGAAAACAGGACAATGGTGAAAGAAAACACCTCACGTCAGCAGCACAACGGCGTCTACATCAAAGGTAAACTCCCATCCCACACAGACACTTTCACACAGGACACAGAGCTATTCACACTTTTGATAGATCTTTCTTCATATCAACCTTAAAACTTAATATCAACCTTAAAACTGCTGTTATGATTTGTTGTTTTTAACTCTAGAAGTTATAACCCATTATATAGTGCACCTTTAAGTTATGCAAACTAAAAAAAAGTATTTGTGTGTTTTTACAGATCCAAGAAATGAAAACGCCGCTTGAGGAGTTGTCAGAATATGACGACGTGTTTATAGCTGAAATTGAAGCCATTTTGCACGACTTCATCAGTAAGACAACTGAGGACACATGGTCA